GGTAAACATTTAGTATTCTGGGGTAATTACCCAATACTTGATGATTTTTAGCATTCCATCTAAATCTAAATACTGCTTTCCTTTTTGTTTCTTGGCTGCAGGAAGAACGTAAATTCTGAACTCTGACGTCCAAGCATACCTTCATTTATCGTAGTGCCTATGGATTTTTAGGAATTAATGGTGAATTAACTATTGCTTCTCTGCTGCTGCCACTAGGTTTGTCTTGGAGCCCATGCCTGTGTTAATTGATGAGCAAGAGAAGAAGTTCAAGGATAGTGAAGTTGCAATTTCATCTTTGCAGGTCTGATTAATTATCATTCTTCTTTTCAGTAGTAAAAGCTTACAATGAACCGTAACATGAGAAAAAAATAGAGGATTTTTAGTTTTTGACATACCACATTCAATCTAAAAAAGTACTCTGTAGAAATGTGAACGTCTAAAAAATATTTCATTATAATGCTTGCATTCTTAATATATTATTAATACAAGAGATTGGAATGAGTTAGAATACTGAATTTACATTGTGTAGAATTCCTATACAAAAAGAGTACAACAAACCTAGTAGAGTCCTACAAAGAGTAGGGTGTGGGGAGGGTGTGTACGGAGACATTCCTACATGAAAGTAGAGAGTCTATTTCCACGAGCCTTAAATCGAGCAACAAAGAAGGCATGAAAAACAAACAAAGAAGAAGCGAAAGGAAACTAAGGACAAAGAAGAGCGTAAAGGTACAAAAGGGCACAAATTGCCTCTAAAAAGTAGACCCTATGCACAGAAGTACACATGACACGAGCACAAACTACCACTATCCTAGCTCAGACACTTCTATGTAAGGTCATATCTTTGAAGTCTTGTGTCATGCCTGATCACTTCTAATTCTTCTTAGGTTTACCCCTACCACCGTCCACAAGTCCACAACTCTCAACCTTTCGCATCTCTACGCCAGGGCCTCTGCAGTCTGCACTTTGTCGCTTCGCATGCCCAAACCACCTCAACCTAGCTTCTTGCAGCAAATCCTCCACTCGTTTGCCAATTTTGTTTGCCACTTTGCCCACACATCCACCACAACATTTGCATCTTTGCCGCATGCAGTTGCCGAACATGGATTTTCTTGACCGCTCAACACTCTGCTCTGTAAAGCATAGCCCGTCTGAGTATTGACAGATATAACTTCCCTTGCATCCTTGCCGAAATGTTCCTGTCGCATAGGACCCCTGAAGCCAACTTCTACCTTGCCCAAGCGGCTCCAATACGATAAACATCCATGTCTATATCTCCATCCAGTTAAAAGACCGAACTAAGATACAAAAACCTGTCTCGTTTAGGCACTGGGTGGGGGTCAATCCTAACATCCACATCTGCCTCCGTAACCCGACCACTGGAGCAACATTCCATGTATTCAGTCTTCCTGCTTGGTCTAAGCCTATACAAAAAGAGTATTTATAGATATTAAGATAAGATTTTAGAAAGAATAAGAGTACTAAATTTACATATTTTAGGATTTCTATAAAAATGAAGAATCACATTTAAATTTTGGCACTACTTTAAGTGACAGCCCAGGAAAACTGATGCTCTCGATTGCAGGCATAAATTAGCTAAATTTTTGAATGTCTTCACTAATACTCCGTATATATATATCTGCTCTATTAGCTTTGATATATATCAATTATGATTTAACGAAGTTTATGGTATAGACTTGCAAAGGGACTCCCAAGAGCAATATGCGTGAAAGGAATGAGAATAACCTCATGTGTTTTGCTTTCGTCTTTTGGCATATACCATTGCCATGGTCATCGCACAATTGATTTAACACGGAGTTCATGGTTTCTTTTTGCAAATGGAAAAAAACTTGTGTGAGACTATCTGACATTCATATGAGATCATTTTTTCTTGTCAAAGAACTTCTTGCAATAGAAGTATTAACCTTATATATAAATGTATAACTATTGAGCAAAAAAACACTTCTTCCTCATGTTCTTCTCACCGCCTGACACAGCCTCAACTATACTATAATGTTCATTTAAGTTGTGTAGTTGCTCATGCCAGCCTTTGGACTAATGCTAGAAAGCTCAGTTATTTTCTAGATTCCAGGGCATGCTAGAGTTGTTAAATAGATAAGCGACCATTGGAAACTTGGAGAGTTACGACAACACACTAACAATGATTTAAGATCTGGAGGATATGCAACTCTTTTGAATGCATTTACCATAAAACCATGATTTATCTATACATTTTAAAGCTGCTGCGTATATAGTGACAATTCTGGAATTGTTATTTGGACAGAACTCTAAGGAATACTTGGAGAAGCAGATCGGTGAGGTGGAGAATAACCTGAAAGAGCTATTACAACAGGATCCTGGACTTGCCCGCCAGATTATGTCCATGTCGGTGTGATGTGTAACGTTACCGTGCTTCTTTTACTCTTCTTGCTGATGCATGTCATATATATACTCTTTGTTGGGCATTATATGATTTACAAACTTCCCCGGTTGACTCCCTACTCACTTTTGTGTGTACTACGCACCCGTTCATTTCTTTTTTGAGTGTATTACCGTTTGTTCAGATTTGCTATCTGGAAATTTTCATGGCGTAGTTCAAGCAAGTTCTGGTGCGTCTTTTATGTGACTCATTTCATTGTATTCGTAGCTTACAGGGCGCGACACCCTATACGTACGGAGTATTATGCCATCATATATTCATATACTCCCCACCATGAGGTAGTCAAACTCTAGATTCTACGTAGGATCGATAAGCATAATGAAGATCGTAACATCGTAAGATCGTGACTCGGATCGTAAGATCCTACTATATATATATATGTATGTATGTATGTATGTATGTATGTATGTATACACGTTTAATGTTTTAATTAAATTTTATTAAAACATAACACAAGTTCAAGTTGGATCACAAATGACTTAAAACTTTATTCTTAAACATCTAAAACATAATTATCAATGCTAAAATCATAATCCTCAAGTTCTTGATCTTCATCTTCATCTCCCTCATCCAAATTGGTGACATCCAACTCCTCTTCATGTTCAGGTTGAACATTTGCAGCAGCCTCTTCTTCTCCATTTTGTGTTGGAACATCTGTGGAGTTATTGCCAGCAGCAACTTCATCACCTTTTGGGTCTTCACCAACATCTTCCATAATCCACTCATCATCTGACGAAAGATATTCTAGTTTGAGCGGATTTGATCTCCTGGCTTTCTTCTTTTTTGCCAATTTTGAATTAGTCATGACAAAAACAACATCGTTCATTGTTTTCTGCTTCATACGATTTCTTCTCTTTGTATGGACCTAATGAGAATTATCAAGTCATATTTATTTGCACATTGTAGAATGTAATAAAACTTTAGAAATCTTACCATCTCAAATGCACTCCAATTACGCTCGCATCCTGATGAACTGCATGTCAAGCTCAATACTCGAATCGCAAGTTTTTGAAGGTCTGGATGTTCATCTCCATATGAGTCCCACCAATCTGCTGGACTTAGCTTATCAAATGTCTTCTGAGCTAATGGAGAACCAAATAACTTTTGACGCTTCTTAAAGTCCTGTAGTTGAACATCAATCCTTGCTTGTTCTTCGATATCAGCCACCATGCGTCGTAAACAATCATATACGCCTTGTTTAACTTCATAATCAACTTTAAAACCGGGGCTATAGTGCATGCGAGGGTTAAGATAATAGCCTGCGGCATGCAAGGGCCTATGAAGTTGTTTATTCCATCTGAGATCAATGACACTCCACAAAGGCCTATAACTGAACACAAAAGAAGTATTTTAATTATTACTTAAATTCAAATTAATATTTTATGATTTTATTCTACAAAGGACTTATGTGATGTACCTTTTCTTGACATTTTGGAAAGCTGCTTGTATCTTTTCTTTTGCTCGGTCCATTGCCTCGTAAAGAAATCCCATGGCAGGATGCTCATCAGAATCAACCAAACGAAGCACCTCAATGAGAGGTAATGCACCCTTTAAGCATATCACTATGCTTTTCCAAAAGTCCTTATCCAACACAATCTCCTCCACAACTTTTCCATCCTTTATTTTTGAGTGTTTGTTTGTCTTCCACTCTTCTGAGGTAAACATTCTAATTAAACCACCTTTGTTTTCATAAAGACACCCCAAAGTTAGATAAGCAGTAGCAAATCGGGTCATTCCCGGTCTCACCAAATCTTTCCCATCTGTGAAGTGGTGTAATAGAGGAATCAGAGAAGGTCTAGAGTAAATATAAGTAGTGATTTTGCGACCATTAGGAATTGTCACTCCATGGATTGGGATTTTGTTTTCGAAGTCCTCTAGCATGAGATCAATGCAATGAGCCGCACATGGTGTCCAATATAGCCTTTTTCGCTTCTCCATGAGTAGAGTACCTGCTTTTACATAATTTGGGGCATTATCTGTCACAATCTGAACAACATTTTCTTCACCCACATCTTCAATCACCTCATCCAACATCTCAAAAATCTTGTCATGTGACTTCACTATTTCAGAAGCATCAAGTGATTTCAAGAAAACAGTCCCCTTGGGACTATGAACTAGAAAATTAATCAATGCTCTTTTTTTTATGTCAGACCAACCATCACTCATTATCGTGCACCCTGTCTTCTTCCATTCGCTCCTATGTTCATTGACAATGCGTTCTGTCGACTCCACTTCTTGTTTTAAATACTTTACTCTGATCTCATGATATGACGGTGGCTTGAATCCGGGTCCATGTTTTGCAATCAAATCACACATGATACGAAACTCTTCACTTCTTGCCGTGTTGAATGCTATGGCATTGTTGAAGTAATATCTCGAAATTGCTAGACATGCATCTTCTCTCAAACTCTTCTTGTACATGCTATTAATGGTGCTTTGATTGGTCGCCCTTTTTTTGGAAAAAGTATTCGATCCATCACCAACCTCGTCGTTGATTTTTCTTTTGAAACCAACATTTTCACAATCATCATCATCGTCTTCATCCTCTTTTCGCCTTTTCTCTTTAGAGGTAACTACAATGTCCCACATTTCTTGCCTCAACTTATCAGAAACACTTTTGCAAGCACCCACATCCTTTTGTGTCCCTGCTAAGTGATGCTTCATACGGAACACCCCCCCGGTTATGACTTTGCTACAATAATTACATTGTATCTTTCTATTGCTAGAATCAATTGCTTTGCAATGTTCCCAAGCAACATTTGTTTTCTGCCTAGGAGCATTTTTTGCAATTGGTCTACTAAATGGAGTGGCTGAAGTAGGGATTGACATTGTAAGAGAGTAGAGGCAGAAAGAAGAAGCCGGCGACAGACACAGATGATTCGCAGGAGAAAAAAAATGTCGCTGGAGAAAAAAAAGAAGGAAGGCTGATACGCAGAGAAGTCTCGATTCCCAAATAAATAGAAGAAGATACGTCATACGTCTGATATGCTGCTTTCCTATTCAAATTGGGAATCTATTTAGTATTTACGCTGCTTTTCAATCCAAATTGGGAGTCGCAACAGACGCGACTTTCCAATTGTAGTTCCAGAAGCGATTGGAAGGAGATTTTGAAGAGACGCTATTTGGACTTCTCAGACTCGGCGATTGTACCCGATCCTGTGTTTCCACGAGCCGAATCGTCGATCCGAACGATTCCATGGATTTCGCGATTCTGCAGCCGTCTCAGATCGGTAAGCTACCGCCGATCCTCAAAATCGTAGACTCGTACGAGTCAACTCGCGAGTTTGACTACCCACCATCCCTGGCCTGGTTCTTCATTTTTTTCTGTTTCTTACTCCCTGCGAAATTCATTTGTTGTCTACCCAGAAGGTGAATTTTTTTTTTCAAAAATATTTTCAAAACTATTGAAGTATGTAGTCGGAAGTCAATTCGAAAGGATGAAGCTGGCAAGTTCACATTGAATACATATGATGATTATTTGACATTATTGCGTATTGTAGTAGAGTGTCTGGTTCATTACGGAGTATGTTTATACACTACGTGATAAAATAATTGTTAGACCATTATTGACTTGTTGGAGTCGAACAAACGAGTCCTAGTGCAAATCTTGATCCATCTCCAACTAGTGTGTCGTAGAAAAAATCAAACACTTTTCTACGAAATTTTGGAGCTAGAATTTATATATCACAATTAAACTGTATGTTACCTTTAATGAAATTAGGTAGAATGTCCATAATTATAAACTACCGAGAGCCCATGATATAATTAATACTTCCTTCTATCCAATTTATAGTTTCTGTTCATTATTTACATGATCAAATTTCTTTCACTTTTTTTATCTAATTTGTTAGCAATTTGATAAAATAAAGTATTATTGTCACTATTAGTTTTGTAGATCTTATAATGTACTTCCTCTATCCCAATTTATAATGTCTGTTTACTATTTACATGGTTAAACTTCATTCACTTTGTTTATCTATTTTCGTTAGCAATTTGATAAAATAAAATACTATTGTCACTATTTGTTTTGTAGATCTTCTGATGTAATATTTTATTATGTAATTTTTATGTTTTAACTCTATACCATTTGTCATATAAAATGATTTGAAAATAATTTCAGTCAAACATCGTAAATCAAAACAAGCACTATAAATTGGGACGGAGGGAGTAGTAATCTAATATTAATTTTTAGTTTTTTAACTCTATACCATTTGTCATATAAAATGATTTGAAAATAGTTTCAGTCAAACATCATAAACCGAAACTATAAATTGGGACGAAGGGAGTATCATTTTAGCTAGGTATGTTACAACAAACTCACTAAAATCTCATAAAAAAGTAGAGGATATGAGAAAAGTGTGTGTATTCAGATTGTACCCCTACCTAGCTAGGTAAGCTTGTTACATATTTGATCATTTATTGAGATTAGGAGATAAAAATCAAGCATAAAATAATGTTCACTACAAACATTAGGGGGGGGGGGGG